GACTTGCAGAAAAGGAACAGAAGAGTCAAACTGAGAAAATGGCTTCTTTCAACAGAGTCACGGTTGCAGCCGAGTTCTTGCACACGGGAGCCTCGGGAATAGGCAGCTGTGTTCAGCAGGCCACAGGCTGCGAGATCTGTGACCTCAGCGTCCGAAGAGTTCTTTCATTTGTGAAAATGAAACCTCGCAGTTTTTCCTTTTCAAAATATGAGTGCATGCAATTGCATAATATCCCTTTGGGACTGAAAAACAAAGAAAGGCCTTTGATTAATATTCATATCTAGAACTTTAGAGCAAGTGCAGATTGTGCTGGAATACCTAGGAAGTCATTGGAAGAGTGAATCAATACTAATTATTGTAATCAGGATGGTTAATTAAGTGAAAATGTGGCTGATAGAAAGTTCATTGCTCACAGCCCTGGAAACACCTAGGTTGATGAAAAGAAGGTAAAATCCAAAAGCAAGTGTGATACCTGGGAATCATCTCTCTGTGATTAGGGGGTCAGAATCTGTCCACAAAAAACATACCTCGATTGGGTATAATCGTGACGGTGAGAAAACCAGCAACATCAGACTCAGTTTCTGGTGTAGAGGTTTCTATAAAAAGTCATTAACAGAAAGCAGTTTGTTAAGAAGCATCTCCTGCGGCTCCCACAGCATTTATCTGCCCTTCTTCCAACGGTAACAAGTATATTTCACTCTGTGGCAGTAACATCTTAGATCATCTTGATTAGCCTTCATTGAATTTCTTCCTACATTTTGGTAATTCCTGGGGGATATGTTGAGGGTGGGGAGGTGGGTTCTCCTTTTATCACACTATTGATTGCTTCCTCTTGGTTATTACTGGCTTTGGGAATTTTTCTGAACTCGCAGTGACTTTTATTCTGTAGAAAAGATGAGGCAGTGTTTCTTGGAGAGGATTAAGATACGTGGCATTTCGTTTAACTGACATGGGGAAGAGGGTGTCAGAGGAAGGAACGCGTATGTGAGGTTTCAGGGCTGTAGCCCATTAAGAATTGAAATGAAGTGTCCTGGAGCTGAAACACCTTTCTGATCCCACAGTACTCATCTCCAGAGGTCAGACTGAGATGGAAGCTAGATGTACATGTAAGAGACAGAGTGTGTATGTGTGTGTGTGTGTCTGAACCTCCACTCCACTCAGAAATGTGCTGGTTAACCCTGATTTCAGATGAGGAACCCTTTGTCCCCAGATGCAGCCTTCTGCTTCATGCAGTGTCATCAGGGGTTGTTCTGTGCAGGTATGTTTATCTGATCCAGAGCTTTCTTCTGACTGTGACTTGTCCCAGCACATTTTCTTGTATGTCAAGACGGTCATAGCTAATGGGGAACGGCATCTGTGGGGGAGGGTGACAGCAGCCCAGAGTGACATGTATGTATTACCAGGACAGCTGAGCTGCTCCCTCACCCCCTTCCACGGTGACCCACCTGTGAATGGCTGCCTAGGGTGATGATGAATCACTGCAGTTTAAGAAGCAGGATATGCCAGTGTGCCCTGGGAGAACAACAAAAACCAGAATTTTCCTCCATAATCATTCAGTTCAGCAAACTTTGTTGTCATGAATACGAAGAGCATGAGGTTTGAAGTTATCGATAGCCGTGGCTTTTCAAATCCCTGGCTGAGAAGGGTTGCAGCTGCAATCGGTAGAAACTGTGTTGAAACTTATGGATGGCATTGCTGGCTCCCAGCTGGTGTGTGAACTGACGCGAAGGGGCACCATGGTTCCTGCGGCAGGAGCGAAGCAGACACTTGTCATCCCTCCCGTAAAACTGCCCATCTCAGCGATACGGGTGCTTGCAGGTGTCGTCATCGTCACGCCTTGCTTTTTGAATATCTAGGTCTGGGACCTCAGCTCTTTGGGGTTCTGTGAGATGGCTTCCCCATTCATTCAGAGATGACTTTGGAAGCATCTCTGTGAATGGAAATGCACTGAGCTGGTGATGGACGGTGAGAACTCCTGGTGGTGGCAGTTAGGGTTCATTTTGACTTTCTCTTTGGAAACTGACTTGATCAAAAGGGATGGAGCCCTTGTCACCTGCCACCTGCTCAGGACCTGTCCTGTATAAACTGTACCCTTCTTCCCCCGCCAGGTTAAGGGCTGCTGGCCTTAGAAGTATCAGTGAAAACTTTAATGCTGCAAGGACAAAAGGATTAGCACTGCCTTTCTTTTTTCTTGCCCATCTGCCAGTTCCAGGTTTAAACAAAGATTGGGAGGTGGGATATTATAATTGAAATTGAGAATAAATCCAAAACTTATTGACTCTGTACCTGACGCTACACTAGGGAATCTCTTTTATTTTATATAATTTAATCCTCCCAGCTATCTAAGAGATAATGGTAGTTATGTTATTCGCATTTCAAAGATGAAAACAACTGAGACCAAGAGAGAGACTCATATTCGATCCTGGAGTTGGGAAGATCCCCTGGAGAAGGGAATGGCTACCCACTCCAGTATTCTCGCCTGGAGAATTCCATGGACAGAGGAGGCTGGCATGCCACTGTCCATGGGGTTGCAAAGAGTCAGACACGACTGAATGACTAACACTTTTCACACTAAGAGGGGGGAAAGTAATAGGCCCCTAGACACATAACTCATGGTGGGAGGGATTCTAAGTGAGGACTCAGGCACACTCCTCTGTGGCCAACCTGAAAGTACAACTGTTGGATATTTGACACTTGAAAGTCATATTTTGCTCTGGTGCCACATTTTCACAGTGCACTTCAGTTTTTCCGTACCTAGTATCATACCAGGGAAGCTGTACAGTAAGAAAGGGAAAACCATAGTCATTTTTGCTTCTGAGTTCTTACAACTCCCTTGAGGTCTTTGAATTAAAGCACCCATGCCTCACTTTTCTCATGCTTTAATCTGTATAATGGGAATACATGTTGGAAGGAATAATAGGGCAATCTGAAGCATGATGAAATTAAAATGTGTCTTTTAACCTACATCAGGGACCAAAATCTGTCATACTGTAATCAGAACCAACCAAGCAACAGACACACTATGTGACAATAATCTCAGCAGTTAGGAAGCTCACAACAGTCTTTAAACAGAGCGGGAACAGTGGGCACGAAGGCATCAAGCGGTATGTATTGCAGGGAAGGGGGTCTTGAAGGACAGAGGAGGGAGCAGGGGGGAGAAGTTGTCCTTGGAACACCTTGGATTCATCTTTGTTACTAAAACAAAGCCAAACAAAAATCCTTCACCTCATTCCCTTTCTTCCTCAGACCAGAGGGTCATTCGCATTGCTCCTCTATCACTTCACCGTATTCCTCGCACCGTATATGGTGCAAATGCAATTGTTAGCCTCCACCAGGGAGTGTTGAGAGACTAACTGATTAGGTCACATAAAGGTTTACACTCATCCATAGAGATAAGACAAGATAACATATTTCCACTCAGCCTGGGTAGATCACTACACCACTTTTTCATGAAGGTTTTGGGTAGTTCTTTTAGGAGGAAGGAAAAAAAATTATTTTCCCCTAATGGACTTCCTAAGAATTAGCATCACAAGCAAATTTAAAGAAAAAGTCATTTGGGATTTTCAAAAACCTCTATCATAAAGCTAAAAATAGTTAGAGATTTGAACTATATTGTAGAGAAAAAATAAATTTCCTGTGCTCAAAACCTTAATGTATTTTCAACCTACATGTCACTTTAATAGATTGGTTATATAATTGCTGTTGTAATAATTAGGTTAACACATTGTACCTCTCATCTGAGGATCATGGTAGATTTTGATTTTATCAGCCATCCATCCCTAGGAGGAAATGATGGCCAAACACATGCAAAGATCTAGACCATGAGTCAGAAAGTTCAGTGACGTGTTCCCAGTGTCTGTCTGTTCTGACAGAGTCAGATGTAGACTCCAACAGGTTTGGTTCTTACATCTTATCTATTTCACTCCACTTGCAAGTAGCATTTGTCTTAGAGAGTCGGATCTGCACGCACCGTATCAGATGCCTTCTGATCCTCGGAAGGAAAAGCTCTTTGATGGGAAATCCATCATCACATGGGTAAATGTGTTCTGTTTTACATGCGGTCCAAGCGTTTGGTCTCTTTAATCCTTCCTTTTCTTCAAGATGTATTTGTTCAGAAAAAGGAGAAACACTGAGGCCACTGGGGCTCTCAGACCTCTGAAGAGTCCCTCTCAGCTCCAGATTTTGATTCTTGCCAAGATCAGCTTCAGACTACTCCCCCAATCCCTCCAGGAAAGCTTAAAACTTCCTTTCTCTTTTTATCCACCCCCACCTGTTGGAGCTTTCTCCCTGGACCTAATGTTATGCCCACTGCTATATCCACCCAGCTGTCGCCACTCAGCTGCTGTGTTTTGTCAAATGGTAGTTTCTCTTTTTGAAATTTATAGCACGTGACAGTAAAATGAGAACTTCTGGCCGATTGGGGAAAACATTTGGGGGAAGGGGTGGTTCAAGGGCCGATTGCCAGGGAACTCGAAACCCCATCCTGATAGCTATAAATTTTGTTCCTGCCGCCAGGCTGGCACCAGATAAAGGTACCCGATACAGTCTTGACAAATCTCAGCATCTTTGAGAGGCTGCTGGGACATTCCTTCGGAGGCTATGTTTTCTGAGTGCCTCCATGTACACATCACCAGGCCGGCCTTCTTCTCCTCCCCACCCCTTCTCCAGTCTTCTCCTCCCCAGTTTTCAAATCCTGTTTATTCACTCTGCGGGACACGGTCTTACATCCTCCCCCCTCCACCCCATGATGATGTCTGTAGAGGGGGCACCCCAGAGACAGCTGTTCCTAGCTGAGAACGCAGCCTTGGTCCAGGCAAACTTGATTTCCCTGACAGATGAGCCCCCAAGACTGGTCACTTTGGTGGTCACCTGCCTCCTCAGCGCCGCAGCTGTGGAGGAAAGCTGTCTGGCACTGTCTGGCTTCCGTTGGAGAGAGAAGGAGGCAGAAAGAAAGAGAAAGCTGAGGGGGGAGGGAGAGAAAGAAGGCCGCAGCAAGGATAATGAAGAAAGGAAAAGGGAAATCTAAGGCCGAGAGGGAAGTGATGAGCTGGCTGGGCTCGAGGCCCAACAGGTCCACAGTGTTAGCATTTCATCCCCTTGGAGTGGAAGCTTCTGGAAACCCTAGAGGGGCACCTCACTTCCAAGCACGAAGGTACGTACACAAACAACCCATCTTCCGTTGGAGGGTCTCTTCAGATGGGAGGGAAGTTCACCATTATGTCTTCGGCTCTGTGGAAAACAGATTCAGAAAAACACAAGATTGCAAGAAGCCAGTAGCAGCTGCTCTCGAGGTAGAGCGGCAGCTGAAAATTCCCTTAAAAAAAATGTAAAATAAGAGTTTGATTACAATGTCATCTTTACTGTAGCGTGATTTTACTGAAGTCCTTTTAGGAATGTGATAAAGACACTGTTTCAGAACCTTTCAAAATGGGGGTGGGGGGAGCGGATAAGAGCATCTTAAGCTTATGATTGGTGATAGAAGTATATAAGGGGTACCTTTATGGAGCTAAGAAAATATACCTTTATAATGTATCACTTAAGGATCTATTTGGGGGTTTTTAAGCATATGGAAAAAGACACTGTGTTTATTTTTGCAAGTTGCTGATGAAACTGGGGTAAGCCAAGAACAAACACATGGCCATGAAGAAACTTTCCCAGGTACTTAAAATTCATGTGAATTTCACATTTGTTGGCTGGAAAACCCCCAGTGATGGGAATCCCACTCCCCGCTCCCTTCTAGGGCCTTTCTTGCTCCAAATGACTCTCAGCACACTGGGCTTTTTTTAAACTGGAACAGCTATGTTAATAAAATTTGACTTTGAAAAGGTGATGGGGAAAGATATTTTGGATTCTCCTTTGTAATAAAGAGCCAGAAGTGAGGGGAGAAAAACCCTTTAGTGACCGTGCCTGTTTGAGGAGATGGAACAGGATGCGTCGTACATCTATAGTTGCGTGGCCGACCGTCTGCTGCTTTAAAGAGACTGTAACCCATGTTGTTATATGTGGGAATAATTAAAACATGGAAATTTGTTACAAAATATACAGGAATGTCTGCAGGAGAAGATGATTAGCTGTTGGGTTATAAGCATCTATCACTATCGGGCCCCGGTCTCTCAAGTTACGGTATAAACTTTGCGCAAAACTGTTGGAATGTTTATAGTTAGGGACTCTATTCTGGTGCATTGATGAAGGTGGGTGACGGAAATAGAATACTTTGCCCCGGAGCAGTGTGTCCTCCACGTAAAAATGCATGTATTAGCACTCTGTTTCTCTTGAGAGGTTGTGTGTGTTTTACTGTCAGTGATAATTCAGTGGTCAAACAATGACCATGGAAGAAAACTCAGTTTGCGATGAGGCTTGGGGGGTGGCGGGCAACGAAGAGGGGCAGTGCTCAAAAAGCCCGGTGCACCCGACTGCCTTGGAAGGCCTTGCATGAAATGAGGTCATTCAGAAACTTTCCCTTGAAGTGCTTCCAATTCTTGAATTGCCTTTTGTTTGGGAAATGAATAGCGAGTTGATTAAAAAAAATAGACAATTAGGGAAGGTAGGGGGATGGGCTCAGGGACCAGCTTAAGGTTTTTCTACAGTGAAGCAAAAATAGTGAGGAAATTGCGTGGTTCCCCACTGCCTGGTCCCCAGGGTGGTCAGCACGCAGAGGTGTCCACCCACCAGGTTGGGCCCAGGAGGGGGTGCTCACCATGGCCTCACCCCCTTTCAGTGCTGTTGGTAAGAACCTTGGCAATAAAATAGCGTCTCTGAACCCCGCGTGTTTAGCAGCGGCTCAGTTGAGCTTTCTGCAAAATAATTCCAACTACCAAATCATAATACCTGATGGGTCGTTACAGAGTGAAAATTACAAAAGGCGGGGGGCGGGGGGGAGCTTGAGTTGTTTTGGGTTTTTTTTTCTTCTTCTGCCAAAGCAGGGAAACGATAGATTGAAGATTTTCATCAAGTGGTATTTGTTTGGATGTTTTTGTTTTGTTTTTGTCTTTAAGCTCAAGAGATTTTGAATTTTTGTATTTTTTTAAAACAGCTATTGTGGAGGTGCTGTGATCATAGAAATAAAACTCTACGGGGTGTATGTATGTGTGTGTGGACTTTGTTTCTCTCCAGCACCTACATTAAGAGCCTATGCAATCACTCTACTATTTATGTATTTGGCAACCAAACTATTTCAGCTCAGCTACATCCGAAGCTTTCCTTCATTCCCGTTGTCACTGTATTTCATGTACGAGCCAGTCTTCTTTTATATATCTGACCCCGGGTTTGCTTCTGACTTTACATGGCCAAAGCAAATGTGCTTTGAAAACTCTGGGACACACTGTAGTTGTTAAATAAGGCAGTAACCTATGCACTCGTGGTTCTTTCTCTATGACCTACTTACATACTTCCTCACCCTCCTTATAGTATGATTAAAAGCTGCTTTGAATCCACTATTGCCTCAAGGGATTGGAGCCTAGAATTTAACAAACTGCTGAGAAGGCTTAAGTCAGTAAGAGGCCTTCCCCTACAGCGTCTCCCAACTAATTCACATGCAATTAAAGAGAAAATAAATATTTCAGAAGTGTACGTGTTAATGAAGCTTTTTCTACCTTCTAGGACGTAGATGTGCATGGAGCTTCATTCCATAGCAGCCTAGAAAATATTTTCCTTTTTGATGAATGCAGTTGTGTTCTGGAGGCCGGTTCTGTTCGTTTGTTCTTCAGATAATTTTATTATAGAGTCAGCTGCTTATCTACATTTGGGAGTTATATAAATCATATCTTCAAAATCAGTAACTGTTGAGGTTTGTCTCATTTATCTGGCTAATTACTTTATCAAGGTTATTGAAAGATCAACAAAATTCTTACAATTTCAAAGACAGTCTGCAGTCGCAAGGGTAGGGAGAAAATGTAATTTACTAGGAAAAGTTGGGACATTTGGGTATAAGAATTCATTTTACTCCATCTGTTTTTCAGTTCGTTGAGTCTAGACCTGGTTCCACAGAAAGGCAATATTTTAAGAGGAAGGTTGGTCTTAGCCCTCCACGTATCTTAAAACGATCTCCGTCAAAAGCCAGATCCATTGCTCAGCTGAAGAAGAAAATCAAGTCAATTAAGTATGTATGGACCTAACTGAGTACACCAGGCCTGTTATTCCAAATTGCTCAAGGCAGGATTTACCATTGACATGTGGATTTCATATTGGTATATAAATATCCATATTTCTTCATAACCTCTAAAGATGATCCTATCTCATTATAACACAAGAAATTGGGTAGAAAAACAATTTCTCCAGATAATGGTGCCAGATACATTTAAACCACGTGATACAATGCCACATGACCTGTTTAACCCTCTGCTGCCTGACTGCACCCCTAGGTGTGAAACATCATTTCAAAATAAAATTTAAAGTGATTACCAAAAGAGGCAAACTAAGAAACTTCTAGTATGCAACTTATGAGGTTACTTTAGAATGTGAAATAGGCCACACAGAAGTTTTACAGGCTTCTGACCTTGTGAAAATTTGTTTCATCTAAAAAAACAGCAACAAAACAGTCGTGAGGACGCCAAATTAGAACATCACCTTATACTTATCTTTTAAAAATTTTCACAAATCACTTGGGAAAACTGAACTCCCTTCTTGTCTTCCTGAGAGTTCTGTCCTGTTTCCCAATTCCTATTAGTAAATTGGTCACAGATCTTAAATGAGTATTTAAGCTTCATGGCCATTACAAACCCAACACTCTTTCATTAAGCCACTCTTGGTTTTTAATCACTGTGTTAAATACTTGGAAATGACCATTTCGTGATGTATCGTTTTAAAAGAAAAGGTGATTTATCACTCTTAGTTTCAGTCCCGTATACGTCTCAATGTTTTCAAGATGATACAAAAGGAAGTATAATCCTGCAGGAATTCGTGCATCTTTCTCCTTGAAGCACTGAAAAGTCCCCAAATGTCAACTTGGGCCGTTTCTCTGATATTTACTTTGGCTCAACCACTAGTGCTATTTCAGTTATTGTGGTGAGTTCATACATGGGCGAGCACAGCCCACCGACGAGCATTTAAACTAACCCGGGGGATGATTCGTCTCTCGTGGCTTCCGCTGGGGAGTTCGGGTGCGCTCGTGGCGTGCACGGGGCTTGGGCAATACGGTGGCATTCAACCCACGACAAGCGGTCATTCGGGCCTCGTGCCAAGCGCCTGGAAACGGGACCGGACACAGCCGGCGCGGGGGACGGGTGTGCAAGTCTGGACGCCAAGGACCGCAGGCCAGGCGGCGATCTGTCCAGGGGGCGGTCCCGCCGCGCCCTCCTCCCCGCGGGGGGCGGGCGCGCGGGCCCGCAGGGGTTAAGCGGCTGCGCGGCGGGCGCGGCGCTCCGCCCCCGCTCGCCGCACCTGGCGCTCGGCGGCCCGCGGCCCGGGCGCTGGGTGTCGGCGGGGATTGGCGGAGAGCGGCGTGGAGAGAATGTGACAAGTGCCGTCTCGGGCGGCCGCCGCGGGGAGGCCGCGCGCACCTGTCCCTGCCCGTCTGCGCCGCCCGCCGCCGCTCGGCCGCGCGCACCGCCGCCCCCCGCGCCCGAGCGCAGAGCGCGCGCCGCGAACATGACTTCTGCCTTCAAGCTGGATTTCCTCCCGGACATGATGGTCGAGGGCCGCCTGCTAGTTCCCGACAGAATGTGAGTGTGGCCGCCCGGCCGCCGCCGGGACGCTGGTCCGGAGCTCCGCGGAGGGAGAGGGCGGGCGGCGGCGCTCCTGCGCCCCGGGGACGCGGGGGGCGGCTCCGGTTCGGCCGCGCCCTGGGGTTCGGAGCCGGCGCTGGATGCGGGGAGAGGTGGGAGCGCGTCCGGAGAGGCGGCGGAGCCCGGGGTGGGGCGGAGAGCGGGGACCAGAGAGCCGGACGCGAAGTCCCGGGGTCTGGGCGTGGGGTCCGGCCCGCGGGGATCGGCGAACGGGGCGCGGCGTCCCAGGGTGGGGTGGGCGCGTGCACGCTCGTGTCATTTGAAATTCGGGGCTGCTGGAGCTCTCATGGCCCGTTTACAGATCTCTTCCTGCCAAATTGCCCGCTCCTCTTGTCTTACCCTTTGCAAAAATCCTTTTTCGGGGGGGGGGGGGCGGGGAGGAGGAAAAGGGGGGGAGGAGAAGATAATTACAAAACATTAAAATAGCCAG